TCTGCAAGTGAGCCTAGAGTTCCCATTTCCTATGAATGCTGCTTTTGTGAGGATGGAAGAAGTCTAACTGCCAAACAGTCTAGCGATTGATCTGATTAACTGAACTATACTTCTGCGCTATCTAAAAATGCAAACTGGTGATCATTTATAGGAAGAAAACTGTGCCTTCCTGAAAACTAGGTTTGCAGTAGTCATAGCAATGTAAAGAACATGATGCACACAACCTGTTTATGTCTTTTATTGATCAAGAAAGCAGAACATGCTTAATTAATGCACTTTCTCGCCGCCAAATGAAAAGTACACTTGGGCTGAATATGAGGTGCTTTAAATGTTACATTGTAAAAGCCCAATTAAATAGCCCCATTCGTGGCACTTTGTATCTGCTAGCTGTGACCTAGCAGACCCCAGCGAAGAATAGCTCTCAGTGCCTTTCTGCTTTAATAGGCAGATATGAACAAACTTCCTACTTTGCAAGAACACTACTGATCTGCCTCAATAGTTAAGCCAAGAAAGACGGGTTGATATTGATTTGATCAAACATCATAACAAGAGAAAAAGCTTTTCCTTTTCCCTTTTCTGCATAATAGTTGTGAACCTGGAGGCTCTGCACAGCCATCATGGCCAACAGCCATTGATAAGCTCATCCTCCTTGAATTTATCTAACCCCCTTTCAAAGCCGTCACCACATTTTGGGCTTGTCCACACTGGAGTTTACTGGTGTTTGCAGCTGTCTGCATTCCCATTTAATTTGCAGAGTCCACATGAAATTACCCTTCGCTATTTCGGCTGTGCTCTTGAATAGAGGAAACTTCCCCCTCCCTGGGCACTTTTGATCCTTCAGATTTGCACGAACCCAGAAAACCGCACAAGCAAATTGACAATTGCCCGACTGTGTGCTTTGGGGCAGGGAGCTTTCAAAAAAACGGATGCACACAGACAGTTTTCTGTGTGCATGCCCTGTTGGTACTGAATTGGCGTAATAGAAACAACAAACCAGAAGGCAGGGACAAACGTAAAAGGGAACACCTACTGGTATGAACATGATAGAGAGACTGAAGTTACTCTTATCATGTTCCCTCTTGTTGAACTTATTTTGAAAACTTAAAAGCTCCAAATGGTGTTGTAGGCATTTCTCACAACAGAGTTGCGTTTTTCTGCACCACTTCTGCAATGCCCCTTTTCAGGTGTGGTGACCAGAACTGTACACTGTATGCCAAGTGCGGTTGCACCACAGGTTAGCATAAGGGTGTTACAATACTGGCAGTCATGGCCGGCCCACCCATGAGGCCAGGTGAGGTGATGGCCTCAGACAGCAAAATCTCTAGGTGCAGCAGATCCCAATGTCTTCCCCCCTTGTTCCTGATGTAGATCTTCACTTACCCCTTCTTCCCTGGCAGGGAAAAATATGGTAACCATGTTGGAGTTGCCTTAGGTGTCAAAATGTCTAGGGCCCTCCCTGCTGCTTGTTTTAATTTCAACCCTGCCATAAAGATCCCTGGAACAGAATTCATCTTTATCACATAGCAGTTGCCCACTGCCTCGAACACAGACCCAAGACATTTCCCCTGATTATTCAACCATCACAGGACTTAGAAGTATTTAACTGTGATTTGATTATGTCCCGACAGTTCTGCGCGCGCACACACACACACACACACACACATATATATATATATATATATATATATATATATATATATATACCTACGATTCTTGAGACATTGCGCACTTAACAACGGCCCCCTCTTTGTGTATGTATGCCATATATACATAAAATAAGATTGTAAAGAAAATGAGAAAACAAGGCTGTCATCCTAAGCTCAAGGGAGTAAGATCCATGTATCTCAATGAGACTTTCTTTAGAGTAAACATGTTTAGAATTGCACTGTAAGTTTCATGTTGCTACCACGGCAAGACAAAGCTGGGGCAATAATAGTCACTGCCACATTTCCCATTCCTGTACATTTACATGGATCCCTTGATCCAAAATAAACAAAATATGCATATACAGTTGTTGTCAGGCATCAGAGGATCCAACCCCCCCACAGTAGGTTGCCAGGAATGGATAAGAAAAGGAAAGTTCCTACCAACTGCTTTTTATTCAATATTCACAGAGAGAGGCTCAGAAATGCAGCCTCTTAGAATAACGGCATTGTCTCAAGTAAATCTCCACACACCCCTTTTCTCCCACTTCCTCGTTCATCAACAGCACACACACACACACCCTTTATGGTTGCCGCTTAGGGCCATCTGTCTCCGAGCCCTTTGCTCTCCTACTTTTAAGGCTTGCCAGGTTCTGGGAGATGGTGACTCTGGAATGCTTTCTAGTGATAACGTGTCAGCCAGCTGCTCCAGCTCTGCCTCCTCCTCCTCCTCTCCCATTATTCCCAACTTTCCCCCTCATCTTCCTCTGAGCTGTGACCTCCCTCAAACCCCTGTTGTAATTCTGAACTGTCTTCTTCTTCTCTGGAAAGGTCAGGCTGAGGAGGCGGTCTCCACCATTCCTCCCCTGCCCAGTCCCTGACAGTTGTCCTGGTAACTCTACTATCCATGCCTCCCAGCATCCAGATCTCCCTTGTATGTTTTGCAATGCCTCAGCACCCCCGGTCAACTTCTGTTTGTCAAGAACTTTGGGACAGAAACAGGAGAGAGAGGCAGATGATCTACAGCAGCGCTGAGTATGCTGCCAACAGCCTGCCTTTCATTTAAGTCTCAGCTGGGCCCCAGCATGATCTGGACCCAATCTTCATCCATAATGAAAGCCATTATCAACTTCTCATGGTCCTCTATGTTTAGATGGGAAGCTTTTTTCTCTTCATGTCATCCTGAAAGACATGCAAAACTGAGAAGGTGTTTACCGAGCAGGGAAGCTGATTTTGTATGAGAGAACTGTAACCGCCTTCGATTGTGGCAGGTTTCTGTAATTAAGGTGCAATTTAAGAGAGAGCGCCAGCCCACCGCCACCTCCTCTCTCCATTTATTTAAATGGCGCAGAACTAAGATTTCCATTTGTTGAGTGAAAATAAGGCAGTCTGACAGCGATATGACAGTCATTTTCTTAAACAGCTTTTGGAAAGAGGTGTGTGTGTGTGTGTGTGTGTGTGTGTGTGTGTGTGTGAATGTTTAACATTATATATGCCAGCCCAAAACATCTTAGGAGGAAAACCAGGTTTTCCAAACCAGAGGATTATAAAGAGGTCAGTTATAATCCTTGCCTAGCTCTAGACCTTTTCGGGTGTTTAGTGAGGGGGTGTACCAGTATATACCAGAACCTTGAGTTTGTGCTGTTGAGGCAGATTAGAGCACACTGTCACCTTATAGCATAACAGATCTACCTCCATCAAGAATCTGATTTCTTGATGTTTGCAAAGTGACATGGAAATGCACCGAAAAGTGTCAGATGAGTGAACGGTGGGAAGACAGGTAAACATTCCGCAAGCAAATCAGGATAGAGGCCGCTGGATGAATGCTCATTTTCATATAACTGCCCTGAAAGGAGGAGGAGGAGGAGAAATCCTCAATAAAGGCTGATCACATGCAAACTGTACACATATAGGCCTCCCCACGTAAATGGAAAATATGGTATCAGACAGCAGGGTGTGGGTGTGTGATTGGGATCATGTTCCCTGTTCGCCCTCCAAAATTCTACACATACATCTGAAAGTAAATAAAGGCTGCATGTATTCAACTGTGTACATGTAGATTCCAGCTATGCAATCAGAGACTCTGCCAAAAAAGAGAGGAAGGGTCCCTGGCAGTATACAATGGATGTCGGTAAAGGAACCAGGCATGCCATTTTCTAGTAGGGAGGATGGCGTTGTTGGGACAGCACAGGGGAAACAATGGCCGTGTACAGGAGATGTCAGGAATATGCCTCCTTTAAGATGCATTGTTAAGGATAATAAACATCTTAATAAAGTACTGGTGTGGAAGAGGAGAGGGAAACCAAGAAGTCAACTCTCTTTTGTAGATGTATCTTGGAACTCAAGAAGGGTAAATCTGACTCCATTCTTCATACATTATCCCATTTCACAAGCTGACCTTGCTAATATTCTGTGTGGTCATCTAAAACCCAGATCTTAGATCTGATCATTCTTTTCCCCCATAAGATTTTATTAAAGCTTTTCCATACTGCAATAAAATAAAATAAACTAGTGTAAATAGAAACAAAAACAGAGAGATAAAGAGAAAAGAAAATGCAGAGTCCTCTCTCAAGGATAGCTCTTAACCCAGAAAGGAGTCGACCCTTCCAGCCCTCACCTGGGAACTTGCCTTTCTTCTCTCAGTCTCTCACCCTGGGAGATCTTCCCTACCCTGTCCTTCACCAACCAACCATCACCTTCATGTGTGTGAAATCCTTGGACCCCAATAATGGCCCAGAGCAGAGGACACCAAAGGAAAGAGAAGAAAGAAGAAAAATGAAAGAAAGGAAGAAAAGAAATAAAGTGAAAAAGGACTTCTGGTTTTCCATCTGTCATTTACATAAAAGAAATTATTCAAAACATTCACTTGATCATTCTGAAAGTTCTTGGCTGCGGCTCCAATCTGGTGGAATGCTCTGTCACAAGAGACTAGGGCCCTGCGGGACCTGACATCTTTCCGCAGGGCCTGCAAGACAGAGCTGTTCCACCAGGCCTTTGATCAGGGCGCAGCCTGACTCCCTCCTCTGGCAACCTGCACAGAATTTTGCTTAATCGGTTGCCATCAATTTGATTTTAATTAATTTTTATAATGAAATATTTTTAGAATGTGTGATTATTTGACTGTTTGATTATTTGATTGTTGTTAGCCGCCCTGAGCCCGGCTTCGGCTGGGGAGGGCGGGATATAAATAAAATTTATTATTATTATTATTATTATTATTATTATTATTATTATTATTATTATTATTAGCAACCACAGATCCAAAATTTCATCATGATCCAGTTTGATTGAAATGTCACAACTTGCAGTGCCCACTGCTACTTAACTTTTCGATTTCTCTCTGTCTTCCCTTCTCGAGCAATCATTTCTGCTGTTTTCTTCCTTTACTATCGATTGTCACCATCCTTGTAAATCACTTCTTCCCTTTAATTATGCTCTTCTGCTAATCATTTTCTGCTGAAGTTTCCTCCTTTTGGCCCTAGAAAATAAACCAAGTAAGAAGACTTCTTCAATAATCTATCATGTTGTTATCAATGGCTCTTAGGGATCCTGCTTTTTCAGAAGCACAACAAACCGAAATAATAAGTGCAACAATGGGAATAATGGATTGGATCCAGGAAGTGTGAGCCCAGTTCCCCAAAGACTTTCCTGATGATGGAAGGACTCTCTGGAACAGTGTGAGGGCACAGGTGGCTGCTACAGGAGGGAAACTCAGCCTCCCTGCAGTGCTCCAATGCCTTATTCACCCCCCAAATCCCCATGGTGGCATCAGTGCCTGAGCCCACTGCCAATCTCATCATAGTCACTTTGGGAAAGCAAGTTGAAATAAAACACAGGTGTGCAGTATCAGCTACCTGTGCAGTGTTTCCTAACGAAGCTGCTTGCCTACCGCAGGTGCCACCAGACTGCAGGCCATTTAGGAGGGCCCACTCTGTGGCAAGGGTGACCTTATGCCCCAAAGTACAGGGTTAACAGCGCCACTCAATGAAATGATCACGTATTACAACTAACTAAAGCAACTGCTTTGGCCTTAGCACAGAGAAACCTTTTCAGCCTGAGGGGTGCGTATGGACTTTTGCTGTTTTTGAATGGGATGGAGCCACATGCCAGCAATTCCAGTTTTGTGATCGTAGCAAACGGGGAGGTCTTGTACAATGAACCCGCTTCCCCCAAAAGATCAGACTTTTCGTGATCAGGAAATGCACTGGGAAGTATAAGATAATGCTTGTTTTGTTTTATTTTATTTTGAAATAATTTTCACAAGTGCAAAGCTATAACAATACAAAATAGATATCCACATTTAGAGATTTCTCTGATTCCCTCAACTTCCCCTCCATGGGTCCTATTGTCAACATTTTCAACTGCATATCATTACCTAATCCATATGTTGTATCTTTCCATGTTGTCCATTATATTTGTAACATTACAAGTGTTACTAAAATCCTATTAATGTTTTCATCTGCTTACAGTGGTCTCCCAAATGAGTTACAAATTTTCCCCGTTCTTTCTTGGTTCCTGAGCTTTCTGGTCAGTCTTGCCATTTCGGCATTTTCTAACAGCTTAATTTGCCATTCCTCTCTGGTGGTGGGGATAACACTTGCTTTAATGCACTTTTGTCTAGGCTCCCTTCAAACCAATCAGGATGAATGTTCAATAAACAGGTTGTCTGGAAGCACCCTAAATGGGGAGTCATCCAAAAGCCACATGCCTGCAGTTGGTGGGGCAGAGCCAAAAGTGGGCAGGGGTAGAGCCATCACACAAACTCTCTCTTTCTTCCTTCCTTCCAGGTACACACACCTATCCATTCAGGCATCCCCATCCATACACCCCCCTCAGCCATTCCCTTCCCTTTCTCCCCTTCTCTTCTGCTTTTTTGATTCTCCCTTTCTCCTCCCTCCCTCCCTCATTTCACGCCTCATCTGCCTCCCTTCCTCAGCCCCACCCTCCCCCATGCAGTTAAAAAGAAGCAACAGCTCCCATTCTTGCCAAGGCTTTAGGGGGCATGTCAAAGTAACTGTACATTTCAGTAAAGAAACATTCCCCAAATTCCCAGTTGTCCGCAGCATTTGCACTCAGTTCAGAAGATAGCATCTCCAGCAGTTCCTTTTATAATGTACTGGCAGCCTCGGGGATTCCAAGAAACCAGCAAATCAGATCAGTTTTGAAATCAGGGATTGAGACCAGTGCAGTTTGGAAATGTTCCCTCCTCCATCTTGATCCAAAATGGCACCCAAACATAGGCAAAATCCAGTTCTCAGGGGAAATCATGCAAAATTTGGTTACAATATCATAGCAGGTGTCCAAACGCATAGCGGACAAACACTTTTAGAAAATATATAGCCGTACAATACTAAGAACAACAACAACACTTTGTTTGAGAAGCACACAGGCTGAGTTTAAAATAATGAAGCCTACATAGAGGACACGGGACAATACTGGTAGGGGTGTGCCTTGTGACAGAGAGATAAATGTGCTGTGAGCTGTCTGACATTCTGAAAGATTAATTACAGACCTAAAAGTCACAAATTGATCAGGGAAAGGGACCAGTGTAATTAAAGGCAGCCTAATTACAGAGGTTATATAATATGGTTTTTCATAGGCTTTGGAGCAGTTTTCTGCTGCTTTGACTACATGTCTGAGAAACGCAAGATTCTTATTTTTAAATGTATATGTATCATTAGCACAGGAGACTAGACTCGATTTTCCGCTTCATCTCGCGAATGTTGTTTTTGTGAACTAGCCATGCATGGTTGCAAGGGGGACGCTTCTATTCAGCTACTGCAGAAAGGCGGTGGAAATAGTCTCCAAAGAAAGAGGCAGGTTTATATTAAGGCAGGGGAAGCAGATCTCGAAAAGTGATCCATTAAAAAGGTGATTCTTTTTTTGTGGCATGTGAACACTAGCAGCCTTCCAGAATAAGCCATGAGTACTAACTGGAGTTGCTGGCAAGTGCTCTGCTTCTGAATCACAAAAAAGCAAGAAATTGATTTGCAGGCATGGCACAAACTTTGCCCTTGCACAAGCCTCTGTCCTCCTGTATGTTTCAACAGTTTAGGCACTAAGTCTGATGCTTAATCATAGAACTGTATAGTTGGAAGGGACCCAAAGGATCATCTAGTCCAACTTCCTGCAAAGCAGGAGAAGATATACAGATCCGGGTTCAAATCCCTCCTCAGCCATGACACTCAAGGAAAGACCATGGGCCAGCCATTATCTCTTAGCCTGACCTACCTCACATTGTAGTTGTGAAGATGAAATGTAGGGGGAGGGGGAAAGAGAGAGCAACGCACTGAGGGGGTGAAGATCTGAGGCATGGTCAAAAGTGGCCCATTTTTTCTTTGAGCCGTTATTAGGATTATCCATGTCCTTCATTTGCTGCTTCCTGTGCAAAAGAGAGGGAGACAGCGCACCTAAAAGTAACACAGAGATCCATCAAAGACTCCAAACTCATAAGCATTTTAAAAAGGAAATACATGGGAGAAAATACACTGAAAGGCAAGCGATCTGGATTTTTTCTCTCTCCCCCCCCCCCAAACTGCATCCTGTATTTGTGGCTGAACAATTTCAGAAGGACGAGTGACCTTTCTGTGCATGTTCCAAAAGATCATTCCGCATCACAAATTGCCAAGCTACAGGTCCAGTGCTGGTTTGAGTTCAGCAGTATTCTTCATTTGGAATGGTAGGAGTTGCAAGAATATTTCCTTTCCAACAGCATCTCTGTATCTCACATTCCCAATTACAGCTTCCTCTCAGCTATGCTAGGCTATTCATTATGCTGTCATTTCCTGACAATTCACTTCAAGTCTGCGGAAAACTTTGATTCAAGAGACTCCCAGGAGGAGCACGGAGAACAACAACTCTCTGTGGAATTTCAGGCCCACGTTCGTGCAAAAGATGGCTGGCTCTCCGTTGTATCAGTATTGTTGTCCGATGCCTCAGTCATCCCTCCTGCTTTTCTGATGGCCATCACCAAGTATTGCAGGTTCCACCCCATTCCTGACAGGGACTGTGTGGTTTTAATAGATGCACGACAGGCCACAGTGCACTCCCCCCCCCATTAGGTAAAAGGTAAAGGACCCCTGAACGGTTAAGTTCAGTCAAAGGCGACTCTGGGGTTGTGGCGCTCATCTCGCTTTCAGGCCAAGGGAGCCAGTGTTTGTCCACAGACAGCTTTTATATCATGTGGCCAGCATGACTAAACCGCTTCTGGAGCAACAGAACACCGTGACGGAAACCAGAGCGCACGGAAATGCTGTTTACCTTCCCGCCACAGTGGTTCCTATTTATCTACCTGCACTAGCATGCTTTCAAACTGCTAGGTTGGCAGAAGCTGGAACAGAGCAATGGGAGCTCACCCCGTCACGGGGATTCGAACCACCAATCACAAAGTCCAAGAGGCTCAGTGGTTTAGACCACAGTGCCACCCCAGTAGAGCACCTTTGCTTGGTAAAAATTAAACCAGTAGAATGTCTGGTAAAGGAACAAGGGTCGTTCAAAACGTGTCATCTCCCATGAGAACAGCCATGATGTAATTAAGGCTGGCATCTTATTTCTAGCCCTGTTTCGAAGCAGGGAACAGGGCTATTAAGTAGGGAGATTGCTGCTGGATGATTTCAGCATCTTAGGCTGTTGTTAAAGGCACAGGAGCAGGGTTATGATAATGGAATTGTAGAGTTGGAAGAGACCCTAAGGGTCCTAGTCCAAGTCCCTGAAATGCAGGAGTCCTGTGCACAGCTGTCCCTGGACGAGTTTGAACCACCAATCCTCTGGATAACAGCCAGATGCACTGAGTCCTTGTGCCACAAAATGAAAGTGACACTGTAAATAGCAATGAACCATTTCTCCACCTGTGAGTGTCTGCAATCATATGAGCAGACATAGAGACACGCCACTTCATTTTGGATGATTTGGTGGGTGGGATGATCTCTGTATTTGGGGACAAGAATCAATTATTCTTCCAGGACATGAGAAGAGGCCTAACCATTGCCAGCTTCCCCCCTCCAGCTTTTCTCTTGGCTGAATTACCTGCAGCAATTAATGACAGAGACACAGCTGGGGATGAAGGGGAGAAATTCAATAGGGCTCACATTTAAAGGTGAACTCACCTAATCCGCACTTTCTGAAATGATATGAGAGTCTGAACAGAGCCATCCTTCAAAATTCACACCTCTGAATTTTGCAGGGCAGCTCTCCAGCCATGTAATGGGTGCAAAAAATGCATGTGCTGGGGTAAATTATCCATATGAATGCCTATAGGAGTGAAAATGACATACAAAAATGAATTGTTTTAGGGGGAAATCCTTTTGTGCATTGCACATAAGAAGAAAACTGCACACAAAAGCTGGTGAATTTTCATGATGTCATTTAAAAAAACAAATGCAAACTGATGTGGAGAACTGAATTTTTTATTGGAAAACTGAGAAACCGAAAGAAATTGCAGTTGACATACTTACCCATCCCTAGCACACCTGAGCGTCT